TCACCATTCGTCAAAGTCCGGAGATCGTCATTGTCCAGTGCCTTAACGTTCATTGCTTTGCAATTGGTGACCAGTATATTTTATTCTCTAGCTGTGTAATCGCATACTTTTATCATGTATCGATTTGATATTTGTTATCTCATATATGTTTGCTACCTTATTCATGTATGGAAAATGTTTAAATTTAATATTCACGCAGTTCTTGTTCTTGTTCTTATAGATATAGGTATATGTATAGTTTGTTATTCGGGTTTCCCCATGTTAGGAAACACACTTTGGTTACCTTCCCAGGCTGTGGCATTCCGACCTGGGCAGGTTGTCCTCTACGACGTCCGCGCACTCCTATAAAACCCCTTGACGAAATTATGTGTCTTTACCTTCAGGCATCGCTAGATTGTTTACGGGTCGTCGTGCGACTGTCTTGGTCAGGTCGAAACTTAGGTTTCGTTAGAAAATGTTTATGAGCAGGTTTCTGTCTGGTGCTGACTTACTCATCTCGTAAATGTGTTGATTTATCTACAGTCTTTTTTGGTTACTGTTATTAACTGATCAGCTTGTATATTTGCTCTGAGTTAATTAATCAGTGATCATTGTCAGTGTAACTTGGGTTTTATATTTTTTATATTGCCGTTGATTGATAAAATTAGCTAAAAATAATAAACCTGTGAAACCATTACCACGTTTTCATGATTACTTTGTTCTTGTTAAATGACATCCTGGTCTCTGGAGCACAGCTCCGTGACAGTGTTATGAGCTACGACCCACGGCGTCGGGGACGATGACACACCAGCAACCAAATCACCCAGCCTGACCACCTGATCCTTTTGGGTGCAGTCTAAAACGGCACCTCAGCAAAACGTCACCGATGTATCTGGCGAAAACGGCACCGCATTTGTCGAAAACGGCTACAATGTGTCAGGCGAAAACGGCACCTCTATTTTTAATAACGATAACAACGATTTTTGTAGTAATATATATGGTTTATTTACATGGATTTTGAAGTACTTACATGTCATTTGATGTATGTGATGTATTTACATGGTATTTCCTGTTTTCACAGATAAGTACATATGTTCATATATACAGTTTTGTGACATGTCCATCGTCATCATCATCCTGTTCACAATATTGGTCCATGTACAACCGAACATTGTGACAGTACTTGGGTCAGGGAGAGGTCTCCATCCTTGTATCGTCGCCATATGTCGAAGACGAGATGTTGAAGATTTGCGCACATACGCCCTGAGTCGTCACTCCTGAATGGACCGCCTCCGTGGTCTAAAGGTAGAGCGTCCGCCCGGAGAGCGGAAGGTCCGGGGTTCGATCCCCAGCCGCGTCATACCAAAAGACGTTAAAAGATGATACTTGTTGTAACCCTGTCTGGCGTTCGGCATTAAGTGGCTAAAACAAGGACTGGTCGGCTCGGAGTCAGTATACTGTGTCTGAGTGTGGTATTCATGTTAAACTGCGGCATGGTATCTCAGAGTACTAGCACTATAAATCGGCATCAGTCCGGACTAGTACAAGCAGCCACACACACACATACACGTGCATGCACGTCGCTATATAAGTGCAATAATCTTGGACGCGACGTTAAACCCCATTACACCTCACCTCACCTCACTCCTGAATGAGTCTTGACTGTAGAGGCAACAGACTGGCCTCTCGGAACAGCTCTGGGATCAATCTGTAGATACCCAGGGACTGCTCACCCACCTTATTGTTGATACGTCTGTGCCAACCTAAAACGTGAGAAAAGAGAAATTTTAATGTATAATAAAAACATTTATATTGGTTAATATAGTTCATTTTTATTGTGTATATTTGTATTTGAACTATTTTTGTATTATTATTACCTTCCACGAAGTTATTCGTCCTGACAGCTATGTTGAACACAGACCAGGATCTGGGAGAGAAGGTGAGATGAGCAATCCACTGGGCTTGAAAGCAGATTATCAGATCACGCAGTTTGCCAGTGGTACCATGACACACAAGCAACGAAATCACCAAGCCTGACCACCTGATCCATTCAGTCGCCTCTTAAGTTGCTGTGATCAATTCTAATCCAGAAGTCCGACTGGAATCTGTTGAAATAGACAGGTGATGGCTGATTGTAAATCTACAGGCATACTTGGTAATACAGCTCATGTTTAACGGTGTATGCATGGCAAAACACTTTGCTCGAACGAAAATCGGAAATATTACTTTATTTTCAAACAAATTGCATAGACAGTTAAACTACATCATCGTCAGCATCATAGAGGTTAAAAAGAGGACACGTTCATACATATTGTCGAGTAACACCCCCACATTTCGTATTTCACCTAAACTTATAGAATTAATAATAATATGATAACTATTATATATATTGGTAATATTCATGCGATTGTACGATTCCGACTAAATCATATGTGTTTGTAAATCAGTATGAAATAGCTTTAGTGATGAAACCAGGTGTTCGCGAAAAGGTAAGCGTATCCTGCCCCACCGTCGGTACCCGTCAAAAACACATGCAAAGGCAAGTCAATTATTCACTTCAACATATGGTACGTGTACAAGTCACAATAGGGTATTAAATCGGACATCGCTTTTGTCTCACTAATCATGCACAGGGTTGTGCAAATTATTGAAACATGTGTCTGAATGTATGATAGGGTTGAACGTGAGAGACACAAATGTGACGCATCAGTTACAAAAATGGTGTCCCATGCAATTCCCTATTTTGACTTGGACCATACGTTCCAGTGTTTTAGGTAAACAATTCATTAGCCTTTGCATGTGTTTATGACGGGTGCAACCGGTAGGACAGGATACGCCCACCCTTTCGCCTACACATGGTGTCATAACTTTTCAAAGTGATTCATGTACATATGCTCTTGATATAGTCAATCGACTCTGCTTTTAGCAGAGATTTCTCAAATCAAATTTTAATATGATTATTGAGAAGATTGTGTCGCCTTTATTTACAAAATTTTTAAGCATTTGAACATTGCTCATTGTAAATTACATGAACAAATGCATGCATATAAACATGCAATTGCATTGAAACATGATAACATTTGTGATACAGATACGTAGAGAACAAGTTAGGACTCCCTCTTAGCATCAGTGCCAGGGTGCAGGACGATGACATACCTTCCCTTGCCAGACAACAGTAGACTGGGTGATGTTCTGTTGGTTGATTTGTTGTTTAACGCCGCACTCAGCAATATTCCAGCTATATGACGGCGGTCTGTAAATAATCGAGTCTGTACCAGACAATCCAGTGATTGATATGGGCATCAATCAACGCAATTTGGATCGATGACATGCATCAACCAAGTAAGCGAGCCTGACCACCTTTTACGACAAGCATAGTCACCTTTTACGGCAAGCATGGGTTGCTGAAGACCTATTCTACCCCGGAATCTTCACGGGTCTCATGCCAAACGGAATCTTAATGACTCTTCTGGAAGTCATTCCTGCTGCTCTCGATCGGTTCCAATGTATCTTTTGGACTGACGTCGATTGGGTAGTCATTGTCGCTTCGGTGGCCCAGTCGTCTAAGGCGCCGCGATTCGCTGTGCCTTGGGCACGCCAGAAAACGAAGCAGTGCAGTCTTCAGGTGGTGACGTGACAGGAGGTCGTCTTGGCCGTGAAATGCCCTTCACAGCATTGGTTTGACCGTGTTTTCTGACCAATCGGTTGATTACTCTGTAATAGTAGCCCGGACAGCCTGATAAGTTTGTAGAACAACCCTAGGAATGCATTCCACTTACTGTCATTCCTGCGTCTGATATCCTCCTTCATTCTACGGACCGCCTCCGTGGTCTAGTGGTAGAGCGTCCGCCCGGAGAGCGGAAGGTCCGGAGTTCGATCCCCGGCCGCGTCATACCAAAAGACGTTAAAAGATGGTACTTGTTGTCACCCTGTCTGGCGCTCGGCATTAAGGGGCTAAACAAGGACTGGTCGGCTCGGAGTCAGTATACTGTGTCTGAGTGGGGTATTCATGTTAAACTGCGGCATGGTATCTCAGTGTGCTAGCACTATAAATCGGCATCAGCACCGGACTAGTACAAGCAGCCACACAAACACGCACACGTACATGCACGTCGCCATATAAGTGCAATAATCTTGGACGCGACGTTAAACCCCATCTCACCTCACCTCACCTTCATGCTACGTTCAGCGGAAGGATCTAAATACCAAATTTAATGCCTGAACATACTGTATTTTGGAGAATGCATGAGTGGCATGTCGTACAATTTCACCTTGTACACATGAATGAACTCTTCATTCCGATAAAGTATCGATCTGCGTTTCTATACCGCTGTGTCAATAGTAGTGCAAAACTTTTTAAAATTACGCCATTGTGTGATTTTAGATAGACGGATGTAAACAAACTTCCAACCTGGGTCGTTGAATCGAACTATAGAATGAGCATTGAATATCCGTGACTCGAGTCCAATGCCGACCAGGTGTCAGGTGTCAGACGTTTACAACTTCGGTGAAACCCACGATCACGGGTATGGTGCTGGGCGACTGGGCCACCCGTATCAGAAATACGGTGTTCACAAATCCAGGATCATAATAGGAGCGAATCTGGTCTCGAAACCTGGACTGCGGATCCAAACACGACTAAGGGGCGCAACTCTGTACAACGTATTGCCCTCACTCACAACAACCTTCTGACGTGTATAAACAAATCAGTGCCTCGAAGTTATCTAAAATATACTTCGCGATCATGACGAAACAGAGAAACAAACCAATTTGCTTTTATAATACGTATACAGTTAACTACGGTTATAACGAACTCAAAGGGAGCATTGATTCTAGTTCGTTATAACCATAGTTCGTTATAAGCATATTTACAGCATGTATACAGCAAATTGTCGGGACAAAACAACAGTTCGTTACATCCGTCACTTCGTTACAAGCGTGTTCGTTTTAAACGTATTTTCCTGTATCTGATAACTGAAAGCAGCGTGACCTTTAACGTTGTGCCTGTTTGTATGAATCTCAACACTTCCCTGTGACACGATCTGCCGCATTAAAACCTACACACTTTTCCTGTTAACATGTCAAGCGTAAATGTGAACGTAAGGCTTATTGAGTCGATATCGTAGGTTAACAAACATATACGCCCTGCCCTGTACTGAATAACACATTATCACCAACGCTGTCGATAGAAGAATGAAGGAAGTGAAAACATGTTTATTGAAGCCAATACAAACAACAACTGAGGTTCACATTATGTGTCAGGCAGGATGATGTTGCGGCTACAGTATATGGGTGTATTTTCCTCATCTACGTGAAACTGTGTGCCGACAAACTTGACCAAACTAATGCATACGGATGGTACGATGTTGTTTCTGTGTTTCCTCAATGTCATCGTCTTGGTCCCCGGTGAGTTAAATATTTCATATCGAGTTATTCAACATACCCTTCATAAATCAAAAATTTCAAAGGAAAGAATCAATTTTTTTAATACGTGTATATAAGTATTTACATGACTTTCGTGGACATGAAAAATGGAGTGTTTTGTTACCATTTTTGTACCGATCAATCTTCCTGTTTTGAAAAAATTAGGAAATATGTGTCTGAATAGTATCGATACATATGGTGTTATATTGGCGTCGATATCTGCCTTTAACATGTTCTTTATGGCATGATCGGCCACTTTATTGTCGGTGTGAGTGAGTGAGTTTGTTTTTACACCGCTTTTAGCAATATTCCAGCAATATCACGGCGGGGGACACCAGAAATGGGCTTCACATATTGTACCCATGTCGGGAATCGAACCCGGGTCTTCGGCGTGACGAGCGAACGCTTTAACGAACAGGCTACCCGACCGCCCCTTATTGTCGATGTGAGTTATATGAAGATGTATATAAAATTAAAGCGATAAAACCATCTCAATATTCAAAAGACATCTGTGACGATTCGGACTATATCATGAGCGTGTGTTTATTAATCACTAGTGATTGGGTCGGGTAGCCTAGTGGTTAAAGTGTTTGCTCATCACGCCGAAGACCCGGGTTCGATTGCCGACATGGGTACAATGTGTGAAGCCTATTTATCATGTTTATGGCGTCCCCCGCCGTGATATTGCTGGAATATTGCTAAAAGCAGCGTTAAACCATACTCACTCACTCACTCACTCAACTAGTGATGATACCAGGTATTTGCTAATAGGTGGTACCCGTCACAAACACGTGCAAAGGCAAGTCAATTGTTAGCCTAAAAATAACATGGGAACATCGTATGGTATAAGTCAAAAAAGGGAACTGCATCGAACATCATTCTTGTCACTGCTGCGTCAGACGTGGAAGTGCCCTTCACATGTATACCATGAACGTGTATGTCATGTAAGGGATTGAGTGAGTGAGTGAGTATGGTTTTACGCCGCTTTTAGCAATATGTCTCATGAGCTGCTGTAACGTTACGTCAAAAAGTGTGACCAACTTCGCTCGACATTCCCGCACTCGGCGATGTTGACTTCTAAAATTATCTTTGTTGCGTGTCGATTCCCAAATTGAAACAATATGTTCATCCAGAAATCTGTTCGTAAAAGAACTTAGTGTGAAGCCAACAAACAACCAACAAATGGTAAACAATCAAGAAATGTATCAAGAAATCAAATCAATTTACTGCACAGCAATTACAAAGGCAGTAAACAATAGAGTTGAAATACAATATTCAATGGTAATAAATGATATTATGGCAGTGGTCAGTATCAAATACAGAATGACAGTCGTGATAGCAACAATCTCATTAAAATCAGATCTTAGTTCTCGCTGCCGCTTAAAAAGATCTGAGGACATCCTATACGGGTCACGTCAGACCGACCTTGCGCGAACTTTGACTGACCAATGGAATGACCAATCAGAAGGCAGCTTTCTCGTGCTTTACGGCACTAATTTCAAATTGGCGTCTACGCTTCGCAACACATTTTGACAAATTCTCGATAACAAATTTGAAACCTAAACAAAAGAACATTCTGGAATGGCTAATAGATGGTCTAGATTGTATGGATTCAGTCGTTAAACCCGTAACTATCGTTCGGAATACCCCGTGTTAAAGTTTTCAAGGTTGTATGATTAGAAATCACATTCCGACTGTCACTTTAATGATCTGGTAAGCGACGCTCTGATTGGTCGGATGAAAGGTCGTTCTGACGTGACCCCTATGGGATGTCTTCAGATCTTTGTTTAACGGTAGCGAGAACTAAGGTTCAACGAGCGAGGTTGAAGAATTTGATTCATGAAGCGATTCCCCTCTTTGGATACGTCCTATGGCGATGTTCCGATCGGCAGCGCTGAGTCTCGGCATTTGAATGACAAATTATTGGCTTATACTTGCCTTTTTATAGCCACTACTACGAAATACGAATGCCATAATTGGCACGTGCATTTTGTTTTACTGTTTTCATCCATGACATTATTTAACAAGTTTGAAAACAATGCCGTTCAAGACATTGTAAATTGCCAATAATTGCGTTTTGACGCACTGTTTGTCGAATATCAGGCCGCCGACATTTTCCAATAACATATATCCAATTTATATACCGAATTTTTTATGTAGTCGGGTTCAATGAAGTAAACTGAGGGCAAAAAGAAACGTTACCAACATTAACTGATTTGCCACTTTGAAACAAAGATGCCAACCTGTTCAAAAACAGTAAAGAACACATCTCACGAATACAGCCTTCATGTTCTCTGTCGTTCTTTGCACGTGCTTTGCGGATTTGGGGAGATATTGGTGTTTGTCAGCAATTTTCTAAAACATTCTTTCCCCAAATTATCGTGCAATTTCCGGGTATAAATTACGCACGGATCTGTTCCCTATCATTGGTTGCGATGAGTAACACCAACGAACATGACTGACCGCTGTCCAGAGGGAGAGAGCCATAGGTATGCTGCAGATGGGAGCGACAGAGAGAGCGGTTGCCGAACTGCTCCAAGATGACCATTACCAGACTGGTCGCACGTCTCCGACAGACTGGCAGAACCGCAGACAGACCACGGAGTGGCAGACCAAAGGTCACGACCCCGCAGGATGACCGCTTTTTACGGGTACTTCATCTGAGGAACAGATTTCTTACTGTGACGTCTTCAGCTGCCAGCAGCTTTGGACATCCGGTCAGCAGACAAACAGTGACCAGACGACTACGACATTATGGTCTCCGGGCTTATCGCCCTTTCAAGGGCATGACCTTGACCCGTCAACATCGACGTGCTAGATTGACGTGGTGCAGGCAAACCCAGCCATGGCAACAAAGGGAATGGCGGCGAGTGCTGTTTAGTTCCAACTCTTCAAACATGATAGGCGGACGCGAGTTTATCGACGACGTGGTGAACGTACGGCTCCTTGTTGTGTCCACGGGGTGGTACCTTACGGGGGCGGAAGTGTGATGGTCTGGGGCGGCATTTGCTGGGACGAGAAGACGGAACTTGTCATCATCGAAGGCAATCTGACAGCACAACTCTATTTTGACAATATCTTACGGCCAGTGGTTCTTCCTTTCATCCAGCGTCAACAACGGACGGTGTTCCAACAAGATAACGCCACACCCCATAAAGCCCGTATTACTAGAGACTTCCTCAACGCCAACAACGTGACTGTCCTGCCGTGGCCAGCTCGATCACCAGATCTGTCACCCAGAGAACATCTCTGGGACCAGCTGGGGCGTCGTCTTCGGAAACGTCTACATCCTCCCTTCACGAGACAAGCGTTGATCGTTGCCCTCTGTGAGGAATGGAATCGGATACCTGCAGTCGATGTGAGGACGCTTGTCTACTCAGTTCGATGCCGCATTCGAAGATGCATTGCCGCTCATGGAGGTCATATCCCGTATGGAACGGTCTGGGTCGTCGTCACCTTTAAGTTGTAACCAATGTTGTTGATCGAATACTGGACGAATGACCCCTTGTCAAGAAATGTCTAGGTCAAGGACTTTGTTGTTGAATTAGTAAATTCGTATTTTACTGTTCTGAATGATGAATTTCTACAATACAATTGTTATTGCTGCTTCAAAATGTGTTGGTCATATTTTATCCTAGAAATATCGTTGGTAACGTTTCTTTTGGCCGTCAGTTTACATAATACCTATGCGTTTCCTTTTTTTGAAGAGTGTATACCATTGTCAAGATTATGTGTCTTTACCCCCATGGCCTCAATAGATAGTTTACGAGTCGACGGGCTTCTGGTTGGTCATTCGAAACACAGGTTTCAATAGGGTTTTCAATAATCCGTTTTCTAGTAATCCGTGGGTTTTCAATAATCCGTTTTCTAGTAATCCGTGGATAACCAGCCTTCCCATGATTGTCAAGCTTTTGGGGAATTTTAGAATTTCCTTGCTCAGTCAATTTGACTAAATCTTTAGCCTATTAGTCTAATTGATATTCGGAAGTTCTCGTCTATTTTGATTGTCCAAGTGACTTATTGTAGGGGTAGGCTCTTGTTTTTTTCCCGTTATTTAACGCAGCCGAGGTATTTCACTCGGAGCTTTGAGTTAATTAACTCAGGTGTTAATTGGTAGCAGCCGGTTTTCAATACTCGGTTTTTCTCGTAATCCTTGGATAACCAACCTTCCCATGATTGTCAAGCTTTTGGGGAAATTTAGAATTTCATTGATTCATTGGCATACCTTTGCTGTCTATGCATCTTGTGAAAGTGTTGTTTTAGCTGCTCTCAATTTATTTCTGTAATACAGTTGCTTAGCTAAGCCGCTTGTGTATTTGCTCCGATCTATTATTTAATCAGCGATCATTGATACAATTAGCTGTCAGTAATGAACCTGTGAACCTATTACCACGTTTTCTGTATAACCTTATTCTTGTTTAATGACACCCTTGTTCTCTGGAGCACAGCTCTGTGACATGCATAAATATTTGACTTGCCTTTGCATGTGTTTGTGACGGTGCCACCGGTGGGGCAGGATGCGCTCACCTTTTCGCGAACACCTGTATCATTACTATTTGATAGTGATTCATAAACACATGCTTGTGATACAGTCAGAATTGTACGATCGACTCTGATTTATGCAGAGATTTCTATTGGATATGGAAAGGGTTTTGTCGCTTTATTTATTGTTAAACATATATATGTTCCAATTAGATCATGGCGTTGACAGTAAGTATATCAACAAACTTCGGTTTCTACTGACGTTATTATCGCAAGATGACCGTGTTTTTCAGTGGCTGTCGCAGAGCCCTGCTACAATGAGACAGCCGTTAACGGATCAACTCCAGCAGACTGCACAAACTACACCTCGACGGCTGACTTTAACGCCTCCACATTTGACGTCAACACTTCAACGCCTGACATCATCTCCTCAACATCAGACACCTCCACAACGGACTTCAACACCTCAACACAAAACGTCTTGACAACGCCAGATAACAGACCCTTGGTGTCTGACACAGGCCTCGCAACACCTCTGTGGTACACAATCAATCATGTTATCTAGTTGACACAGAGAATGAGTGAGTGAGTGAGTGAGTTGGATTTTACGCCGCTTTGAACAGTATTCCAGTTATATCACGGCGTGTCAGCTTAATGTGGGAGGAAAGCCCGAAGTGATGCAGGTCTCAGACGTTTACCACTTCGGTGAAACCCACGAGCACGGGTATGGTGCTGACAAACCTGGAAACATAATCTGGGCGAACCGGGATTCGAACGCACAATCATAGGTTTCTGGCGTGCCCAAGGGCCGCAACTCTGCACAGCGAATCGCGGCGCCTTAGACGACTGGGCCACCCGTGCCCCTCAGAGAGAATGAATCATTTAGTGAAGTAAATGATAAATCATTCATTGACAAACCTTGGAATGAATAATATTTAAATTCACAGATAATTATTCTTATCAACATAAACATGGAAATCGACTACAAACATTTATTCCACATAATGATTGTATTCTGCTCATCATTATACGACAAAAGGCATGCATTTTTTTTAATCCTCAACCTGGTGTGTGTTTTGATATAGAACAGAAGATATCCTTTTTATTTCACTGTATTGCAGTCTCATGTGTTGTCACCGGTGAGGTGAAATGGGGTTTAACGTCGCCTTCAAGATTATTGCACTTATTTAGCGACGTGCATGTACGTGTGTGTTTGGCTGCTTCGATTATTTCAAATTTTATAGCGCTAGCCCACTGAGATACCATTCTGCAGTTAAACACGAATACCTCACTCGGACACAGTATACTCATTCCGAGCCGACCAGTCCTTGTTTTGGCCATTTTTAGCCGAGCGCAAGGCAGGGTAACAACAAGTACCATCTTTCAACGTCTCTTAGTATGCCTCTAACGGGAATCGATCCCCGACCTTCCGGTCACCGGGCGGACGCTCTACCACTAGACCACAGAATCTTGTCATTAGTGAATGATAATATTGCCAATATTAATGTCTCTGAATCAGGTGAATGTTCATCTGTAGTACGGTTTGCTGTATGCTTATATTTATTTCCAGGCCGGCGTTTGTCATATATGGAGGCATCATTGGCGGACTGTCCATGGTAGTTTTTGTTGTTGCATGTATTTTCTGCGTGTGTCGGTGCTGCAGCCGAAAGACTGACGCTGAGGCCGTGGTATCAACGTCGGTGCCCCTCACCTCCGTTGTCTCCACAAAAACAAGTAAGACCTTTAAGTAATGAGAGTTTATTACATGGCAGTTTTCATATCATACCCCACATCAACACGAGACCCCCATCACCCGTAGAAGACCAGAGTGAGTGAGTGAGTGAGTTGGGTTTAACGCCGCTTTTAACAGTATTCCAGTTATATCTCGGCGTGTCAGCTTAATGTGGGAGGAAAGCCCGAAGTGATGCAGGCCTCAGCCGTGTTCTACTTCGGTGAAACTCACGAGCACGGGTATGGTGCTGACAAACCTGGAAACATGATCTGGGCGAACCGGGATTCGAACCCACAATAGGTTTCTGGAGTGCCCAAGGGACGCAACTCTGCACAGCGAATCGCGGCGCCTTAGACGACTGGGCCACCCGTGCCCCCCGAAGGCCAGAGGGTTGATAAGGGATATGATATGAAAACAGCGATACAATAACTTTTTTATCATATACCCTTACATAAAACTGTAAAATGTATCTTTTCAAAGTGAATGCGAAACATTTTCACATTGTTTGGAAGTCATTGTCACTGGAAAGCCAGCCGAGCAGACGAGCAGACGACACACCAAGGGACGTAACTCTATTTTTTACCACCCGGGCTGATATCGATCGCTCATTCGAAATGCATTAACATGCCGTGTCCTACCCGAGGTGGGATGTAGAACAGACTGGTTATTACACACACACATCCCCCCCACCCACCCTACCCCATCCCCCCCACCCCCACCCCCACCCCCACCCCTGTGATATGAACGTCTCTATGTTGACTCTATCGCAAATGCAAAATATGATAATTTGGTTTATCGCCGCTTTTTCTTTTACACCACGGCGTGTCAACATAATGTGGGAAGAAAGCCCTTAGACTTTGACCCTTTTGGTGAAACCCACAAACAGAGTTTACTTAATTGAACGTTTTATTATGACTTTCATATATGAGGAGAGTAGAGTGTGCAACTAACTGTTTTACCATTTCAGATGGATTTGGTTCTGATCCAACCAAAAACGTAACGCACCCCACAAGTTCATCGGCATCCTGGAACGTCCCACCACCTCCACCGCCGCCGCCGCCACCACCGCCGCCGCCACCTCCGCGATAATGCTAATACTGAGTACTGCATTTTTTGTCAAACAAGTGTTTTTATCGAGCTTCATGAGCATAAATATCTTAAATCAGAAAATTACATGGTCGGCCTAAAACATTGCACTAAGTCACATTTTTCCTTACATAAAGGTTACCCATGTATAAGTTACGAGTTATAGGAACAGATTATGAAATGCTTTAGCAGCTCTCACACTTTGCCGAGGTGGTTGCCGAGCTCTCCCGAACTAACTAGGTTAGGACTCCGGAAGAGACTACAAATATTCGAGTATAATACGCGTGTGTTACGAGCCCCATATACAGGAGTCCAATAGGAGTCCAACATGAGTCTAATAGGAGTCTAATAGGAGTCTATTAAGAGTTGCATACGAGCACAACGATCTCGATACGAGCTGTACGAGTTTGGTACGACTTTGGTGCGAGGTGGCTACGAGCTGCTAAATAATTCGGCGGGAATTTGTCACATGATTTAACATGGAGGCTCGTATAGCTCGTATTAGACTCGGTCAACTCGGCAATAAATTTTGCAGACGATCCTCATACGAGTTCTGTACGAGCACCACGAGGTCGCCATTTTATTATTATCATTATTATTGTTGCTGTTATTATTTTATTTGTTATTTATTTTATTTTATTTTTTTTAATCTTATTTTTTACATTTTTTTTTATTTTTTATTTTTTTAATTTTTTTGGGTGGTATTGCAGCATGTACAGCATGTACAAACGCATGTACCTACATTCAGATTTCGGGGTGTCAATCCGAAAAAATATGTTGGTCAGTTACAGATTTGTAACATCAGCTACCAGGTTGTTCGGTTGTATTTGTTTCCTTGGGTAATTTTCACCCAAATTTGTTATGCACTTGATGCGGAATATCTCATGACCTGATATTATATATTTTGAATGACTACAATGGACTCATGACTATAGACAGGGTGTAGTCGCTTTTATGTAAACATGATTCATAGACAATTCGAGGAATGTCACTGCATGCAATAAAAATCCTGTTGAATATCACCTTGTTATCTGAGTCGTCACATATATTCAGTGATCCATTTATATAATTGTCACCGCTATTTCCCTGTCACACCCAACTGAAACTGTTTCGGCGGATAACCGAGACTTTATTCTTTGGTGATTATAATGTTGTCATGTGGTATAAATAGAACCACACAAGGTATAGTCGTATAACCGGGTTAACAAAACATGGCTGAACCTCAAATCCTTTTAGCATTAATCCAGCCTTCTGATATGGTGTTAGGTTACAGGTTTTGATTTTAATGGCCAGCAGTCAATGTCCTACATGTTAATCTATCGATATTATAGGACTAATATTTGACAACCTTGTTCAAACCATTGTTAGGAAACAAGTTTGTATTAATCTGTCTTTCAAGTTAAAGTAACATAAATTGTGGCTGCAATGTTAATGAAGGCTGTTAATCATGAACATTAGCTATTGTTATTTAGGGGCACGGGTGGCCCAGTCGTCAAAGGCGCCGCGATTCGCTGTGCAGAGTTGCGTCCCTGGGGCACGCCTGAAACCTATGATTGTGGGTTCGAATCCCGGTTCGCCCAGATTATGTTTCTAGGTTTGCCAGCACCATACCCGTGCTCGTGGGTTTCACCGAAGTGGTAAACGTCTGAGACCTGCATCACTTCGGGCTTTCCTCCCACATTAAGCTGACACGCCGTGATATAACGGGAATAATGTTAAAAGCGGCGTTGAACCCAACTCATTCACTCACTATTGTTGGTTATCGTTTTGTCTTCTTGTTAACAGTCATTAATACGACCCGCGATATATTTTTAAACGTCCGATATTTTTATATTTGTCCTGTTTGTAGACCTGTATATCCTTGATGTTCAGTTATCTGGTGATCTCCATAAAGCACCATAGTGACACTGTCCTATTTTCCTAACATATAGTCGCCATGCCTGCGTTTACGATTACACTTCCTCCATCAATACCTCTTTGTGGCGTTCAATTCATTTTGAACAGTCAGTGATCACATGTTGCCCCAGCAAGCAAGTGTTTTGTTTGTTTGTTTGTTTGTTGTTTAACGCCGCACTCAGCAATATTCCAGCTATACGACGGCGGTCTGTAAATAATCGAGTCTGGACCAGCCAACCAGTGATTAATATCATGAGCATCGATCCACGCAATTGGGATCGATGACATGCATCAACCAAATCAGCGAGCCTGACCACCCGATCCCGTTAGTCGCCTCTTATGACAAGCATAGTCGTCTTTTACGGCAAGCATGGGTTCTTGAAGACCCATTCTACACCGGATAGCAGGCTAGTGAAGTGTGCTATCTCACAGTATTTGAAACCATAGAACACGCGCAGGGACATATATCAGGACCTAAAAACATGTAGATATCAATCTTTTAATGCAGTGACGTGTGTAAAATAAACAATGTGTGTGACTCAAACCTACCATTCAAAAACAGAACTTCTATGGTAATGATGTATGTATGAATCATTATATTTTGAGTTGATACTGATATTTACATGGCTCAGTGGCGGAAGACAAACTGGAGCAACCTTGCATGGTATTTGTTTTGATGTACCGTCAATAATAATTGTATCGAAAATGATGCAGAAATTGTTGTGCTCACCATAAACAGTGACATGGACACGGTGAAATTCAGGTAATGATATATTATGGCCACGGCGTTATGGCATGAGGCAACGACATAGTATCTAGAGGCCATGAAATAATATGGGAAACCGTATGATAATGTAAGGCAGCCCAAATGTGATTATAGGGAAGCTCCGAGATGACATTTGAAGACTATGCGCTAATATCTGGAGACCATGAGATTATTTCTGGAAACCATGAGATAATATCTGGAAGCAAGGAGATAATATCTGGAAGCCATGAGATAATGTCTGGTAGCCATGAGATAATATATGAAGGCTCCAAGATGACATATGGAGGCCATGATATAATTTCTTGAAACCATGAGATAATGTCCGAAAGCCATGAGATAATGTCTGGTAGCCATGAGATAATATCTGGAAGCCATGAGATAATATATGAAAGCTCCGAGATGACATATGGAGACAAGGAGATAATTTCTGGGAACCGTGAGATAATGTCCGGAAGCCATGAGATAATATATGAAAGCTCCGAGATGACATCTGAAGGTCATGCAATAATATCTGGAGGCCATAAGATATTATTTTGAAGCTATAGGAATGACAGTCAAGAGAAAAAAATGAAACTACATAATGACTTGGTGTCTCCTAAACTCTAACGATAATACATAGTGTAAATAACCACGCGCTGCTTTCGTTATGAAGTAATGGCAAAACAATGGTAATGTTTAAGCCACCGTTAGGACAAAACTATTGTTTTTCGGAAACTTTCTAAATATAAGTTACCACTCTGACCAGATATCTCAAGGTAAATATCTGTCTTTACAATTACATCGATTTAGTTATTGTCGTTCACTGAAAGTTCCGTTTTCCTTTTGTTCATGGCCCCACCAGGAACAGAATTGATACATATATCCTGACATAGCCACTTAATCTTGATCAAGCCGGAAAATATGCCACCGATCATCGAAGACAGATGTCACAATCATATTCACTTTTTAACATCAATGGTAATAAAAGGCTTAATGAAAGTCAAAATTTACATACTTTTAGATAATGGAAGTGAATTGTATGACAATATGATTATGGAACACTAATTCCCTACATTGAAGCGTTAAGTCGTGGCCTACATCATTACGATATTACATCGATATCTCCAGATGTTAAGTTGTATCCAGAATTTAAGTCGTGGCCACCAGCTATCGCAATATATTCTAAACAAAAAAGGTAGGGATCATGAATGTCTTCCAGAGACAAGGGAGTTAACTGACTATAAAAGTCCAGTTTCGAGGTATTTCCCCTGCCTCGGGAAGATGATTTGGGGAATATTTTATGACTGTGTGTCTTCACTACAAAAAAATGAAAAAATATTCTTGATCCCTAACTTTTTGTTCAGTATATCTTTTAGCTTGGAATTATGTTTCAACATATCAGATATCTCAATATATGTTCGCTTGATGTCTTTTTATGTTTTATCAAACTTTCAGTATAGGTAGATATCTCAGTGTTAACCAGTATTTAAAGTCCTCAGAGACATATACAATTCCATCTAAATGTATGAATCTACAGAAACTTTGATCAAGTAAAATTTCATATTAACATGCACTGGTACACAATAATCATTGCTTGAGCTTGTCCGTTCAAATTCAGTTTATATATATAACAAAGAATGCTGTGCTCTTCACTGATGGTGTGTGCTGTATGCGCCGGTGTTTTTGTATAACCGTATTCGACGTAATAAGCGCCCCGCTCTAACAAGCGCCCACAGTGATATTTGCTAATATATTGGCTGTGAACAATCCAAATTAGCACTCCTTTCGATTGATCAATGTACACAAGACGTATTTATTCGCGTATAATACGCACTCGTGTGTTATATGCACCCTTAATTACGGGCAATTAAATTCTTGAAAATATATCTGTCGCATATAAACATTTCAGGCTCTCATCATAAACCACGAAATTTCCGATCTTTCAACTTTTTTTCACCAAATTAATATGCTATTATGAGCCCCCTATTTCTAATTTTGAGAGCGCCCTGAGCGCTTATTATGTCGAATACGGTATGTAACTATAAAAACCTCTGTTTTAAGTCGTGTTAGTGTTATCACTTCCTGTTCATTTCATGATATGAATACATTTACATGACATGTTTGGAAACCATTCATATTGTTAATCTCTTCCTCAGACCTAAGTGTGATTCTGTATCTAGTGACCATTATATTTACCTGTTATCGGTTCATATTTGTAGAGCGAACTCAAGCCATTGTTACAATATTTCACATGTATTTAGTAAGTCCAAACACTGATAGACCCTCCCAATAGTGTAGCAATCTGTCGACCTACATGTAGTAAGAATAATAATAGAATCACGCAGAACGGCGATTTTTAATCACCCTCACAATGTCCTGTTGGCATGTTTAAGTTCCAACACCTCATCAGCTAGAATATAAATACCCGTATATTGTAAAGAAATATCCAATTTATTTATATGTGATATATTTGGCAATACTTTAACATTTTAATATCTCATTCGACGATGTAAAGTCCATTCCGGATATATAACCTGAGTGAGTATTTCAGCTTCACAGCAATGGTGAGGTGAGGGGAAATTGGGTTTAACGTCGCGTCCAAGATTATTGCACTTATATAGCGACGTGCATGTACGTGTGTGTGTGACTGCTTGTACTAGTCCGGACTGATGCCGATTTATAGTGCAACCTCACTGAGATACCATTCCGCAGTTTAACATGAATACCCCACTCAGACACAGTATACTGACTCCGAGCCGACCAGTCCTTGTTTTAGCCCCTTAATGCATAGCGCCAGACAGGGTAATAACAAGCACCATCTATTAACGTCTTTTGGTATGACGCGGCCGGGGATCGAACCCCGGACCTTCCGCTCTCCGGGCGGACGCTCTACCGCTAGACCAAGTAGGCGGTCTTCACAGCAATGGGAACATGTTTTATAACATTAAACAGTTGTCGACAACGTAAGAGAAAAATGTTGGAAATATTTCACGCTGTTCATGATGAAACAAATCAGTTCAAAAGTAAGACATATTTTGACGATAGTATAGAATTATCATTATATTAGGAGGGAGTCCCAGTCGTCTGAGGCGCCGCGATTCGCTGTGCAGAGTTGCGTCCCTTTGGCTCGCCAGAAACCTATGATTGTAGGTTCGAATCCCGGGTCGCCCAGATTATGTTTCTAGGTTTGCCAGCACCATGCCAGTGCTCGTGGGTTTCACCAAAGTGGTAAACGTCTGAGACCTGCATCACTTCGGGTTTTCCTCCCATTTTAAGCTGACACGCCGTGATATAACTGGAATAATGTTAAAAGCGGCGTTAAACCTATCTCACTCACTCACTCAAGAAATTGGGAATTGGTCGTGGCTTGGCCACGGTAACTCGAGAAAAACGTGGTTGTTGTTGCGTACTCTGATTGTTACCGGTGAACACTGTGCGATCTAGATGAGCTGTTGCTTCCCTTTGATATATGTTTTATCAACACTTTTTTCATCTTTAATGTTCTTTTCTAACTGCAACTTATATCCGTTGACTGTAAATATGTGTTCCAAAGTTGACTGTAAATATGCATTTCAATTTTTTCCTCATTTATTGTTGGCCTAGAGGTTTGACGCTGAAATGCACAGTTGCGCCCCTTTGCCGTGCCAGAATCCGACCAGCATGGGTTCGAATCCATAACTTCGGCATTCCTCACACATCAAGCTGACACGCCGTGAAATAACTGAAATACTGTTCAAAGTGGCCTTAACCGAACTCAGTTACTCTTGCTGTTCGCTGTAATTGGATGTGTATAATGTAAATGTAAAATGGAATCTGGGACCAATAGAGATATTAAATATTTTCGTTTATTTTTATATTTTGTTTTATGTTGCGAACCCGTGAAGATCCGGTGTAGAATAGGTCTTCAGCAACCCATGCTTATTAATAGGCGACTATGCTTGTAGTAGGAGGCGACTAACGGAATCGTATGGTCAGGCTCGCTGACTTGGTTGATGCATGTCATTGTGTCACAATTGCGTGGATCGATGCTCATGATGTCAATCACTGGATTGTCTAGTCCAGACTCGATTATTTACAGACCGCCATCATATAGCTGCAACATTGCTGAGAGCGGTGTTAAACAACAAACAAACAAACAATTTTATGTTGCGGCTTCCTTAGGAGCTGACAGCCTCCGTACTGTTTGTACGAGTCCGGATTAATACCAATTTTGTAGTGCTAGGACAGTGAGATACCATACCACAGTTTACACTGAATACCCCACTCAGACACAGTATTCTGACTCCGAGCAGACCAGTCCTTGTTTTAGCCCCTTAATGCCATGTTTTAGGCAGGGTGACAACAAGTATAATATTTTAACGTCATGTTTTAATGTTTTATACGTTAAGGTATGACGCTCTTCAGGCAGACGCTCTACCATTAGACCACGGAGGCGGTCGCACAGTTAGAGGAATACCAGTAACAGTCAAATGTATCATTAAAGTTGTGAACCCTGTTACATAAATAACGCTGATTAATACTTTCATCTTTGATAAACATATAACATGGACATATTTTAAAGGTTCAATAAATGAAACACATACATTACACGTTTCATAGTTGTCAGATACCATGCCGTAGTTTCGCTGTGCAGAGTTACGCCCCTTACCAAAATTTATCCGCTGACTGTGGGTTTGAAATTTACATTCGCCCGATAAGAATCAGGATTTATTTGAAGTTATCAGACAAATATATGCCATATGTTTTTTAATCTAGGTAATTATGCCCATAAATTGTATAAAGTATTTGTATTTTTATCAGTGTCTGGCTGTCTGGATCTGTGTCTGAATTCGAACTTGTTCAAGGGCCTATTTGTATTTAATACAGACCTTCAATCCCTGCAAAATCAAACCCATTACTTGAATATATATTACAGAACTTTCTTATGACACAAGGAGACCGACTGTAATCCCCTGTCTAGGGAGTTATATATCAGCTCTCACGCCCAATGGTCGTTTATGTCAATTTCCAACTGTAAACACCAGATTTCTTTGATCGGCCATGTCAACACGTTTATAACCAGCGTGTCAATACCTAATCTAACCACATCCATGTACCCGGGGCTAGGTCAACAGTCTTTATAGAGGGGAGTCAGGCGAAGATTTTCAGTTAGGTCACAGCTCTCCCACCGAACAACATACGACAGATTTACCACAGGAAACGTCTGTTCTACTTACGTCTGGGCATCGTGACGTCAGTGTTTACATCAAGCCATGTCCATCACGAGGGCTTTCTTGTAACATGGCGATTAACTTCTCTCTCTGACGTCCAGATCGCGAAGGTTTGTGTGTGTTACAAATGTCTTCCAAGTCCTGGATTGTCCTTCTCCCAATTCTGCTTCCTTTTATACAAGGTAAGATCTGCGTTAATATATTAAATTATTCATAATTGCCCTTTTTTTGTTATTAATTGACTATTAATCTTTGTTTCATAAAACATGTTAACCAAACTTCGTTTATAATAAATCTATATTAGGTAAGCTTCCATTTGTGTTCTGAAGAAGTTATTGGTGTAGTTTATGAACATACATCATGGGTAGCTTAATCTTGAGTGTAAAATCACTTGATACATCGATAACATGGCCTGTTTGGTAGTTTGGATTATTGTTGTGTAAAGATGTGATTGTCTTTAGGCTCTACCTACATCCTGGGAGTTGATGTGATTATCTCATAAACATCAGTGATAAACGCTGTCTTTGACACCCGTATGCTTGTAAACACTAAAGCCTTATCTATATTCGGTTTCATAGTGTTGTATATGAACAAGCGTGTGCCGAACGAAAACGATTGTTTTGTGAATAATATGGTATGCGTGTTTCACGTCCACAGAATGTGGCTCAAGTGAGGTATGCATGAAGCACAACCCACCATGGGGCGCCACCTACCAGCGTTGTGACCATGGGTGTTGTGGCACAATGAACGACAGGCATTGCTGTGCAGACAGGTAGGAAATATGAGACATTTAACTCCTGGTATGGGTTGGATTTGACACCTAGTCTGTTTATCGAATGTCGGATACATTGAGGACCCAGTTTTGTGTTATAACGAAGTCGGATGTGGTGATTGAATACCCAGTGATGTGTTATAGCGAAGTCGGAAATGACGATTGAATACACAGTGATGCGTTATAACGAAGTCGGAAATGGCGATTGAATACCCAGTGATGTGTTATAACGAAGTCGGAAATGGCGATTGAATGCTCAGTGATATGTTATAACGAAGTCGGATATGGCGATTTAGCACACAATGTTGCGTTATAACGAAGTATATATATATATATATATATATATATATATATATATATATATATATATATATATGACGTCATATCTCTTCAACTGACAAAATAAGCATTGAGAGTGAAATGAACTTTCATGCCATTATTACATGTTCACTTACTAACGGGATCGGGTGGTCAGGCTCGCTGACTTGGTTGATACATGTCATCGATCCCAATGACTTGGATCGATGTTCATGATGTCAATCACTGGATTGTCTTGTCCAGATTCGGTTATTTACAGACCGCCGTCATAAAGCTGGAATACTGCTGAGTGCGGCGTTAAACAACAAACAAACAAAACAAACATGTACACTTGATCTTTCTACCCTAAGGGGGTGGTCAGATAGCCTGGTGGTTAAAGCGTTCGCTCGTCACGCCGAAGACCCGGGGTCGATTTCCGACGTCGGTACAATGTGTGAAACGTATTTTTGGTGTCTCTCGCCTTGTTGTTGGAGGTATTTTGCTAAAAGCGTCGTAAAACCATACTTTCTCGTAGTTAAATGGCCCAGTTGTCTAAGGCGCCACATTTGACTGTACATTGTACTGTAGTTGCATGCTAGAAACCTATGGTCGTGGGTTCGAATCCGATTATGTTTCTAGGTTTGTCAGCACAATACCCGTGCTCGTGGGTACATCAAGACGTGAGGCCTGCATCACTTCGGGCTTTCCTCCCACATTAAGCTGACACGCCGTGATATAACTCGAATACTGTTCAAAGCGGCGATAAACACAACTCATTCACTGACTGATGTGAATATATATGACACTCTACAGGTAGAATGTATGTTTTCTTCCTTTCTTGCAGTCAGACGCTGACAATTGTGTTGAGTCTACTCGGTGGCGGAGTGGGGATTGCCATTGTTGTCGCTATAATCTGGAATGTCAGTAAATCCAAAGACAGGTCAAGGGTCGAACCCGAAGGCGTCCCCGTCATGACTCAAACAGAAGCAGGTGAGTGAGTGAGTGAGTGAGTGAGTGAGTGAGTGAGTGAGTGAGTGAGTGAGTGAGTGAGTGAGTGAGTGAGTGAGTGAGTGTGTGCATTATTTACACTATCACCAGATTAAGGGTCAAGTTTTCTTTCGATTCTAAGCACACTCGAGTGACTAATGGTGTCTTCATGTCGGCATTATTAATTATGCCTTTTGACGAAATGTATGTGAATGTGTACCATCCACAGTAATTGTAAGTTGAGCTGTTACTTTTGCTTCTAGACTAAACAACGTGTTCTTTTGCAGTATGAAAGATGGCCCTTTCGGCGGTTATCGGTTATCCAGCGGCACTTCTCCATGGGTGACCTAGCATACAAACATTAATTAGAATATTCGTGTACATACAGACTCCACGAAAGGAAGCATTGCCTGTTTCGTTGAATGAACACTGCGGTCAGGGACCGTGGTATCGACGAAACACTGACATCCATGAAAACACACATCCATGAACACTGACAGCCAGAAATCCTTTATCACGAACACTGATATCCAAGAATAGTGACGTCCAAGAACATTGATATCAAGAGTTCCTTGATCGAGAACTTTGGCATCCATAATATGCTTGATCGAGAACGTTGGCATCCATAAAATTCTTGATCGAGAACATTGGCTTCCATGAAATCCATGATCGAGAACATTGGCATCCATAAAATCCTTGATCGAGAACGTTGGCATCCATAAAATTCTTGATCGAGAACATTGGCTTCCATGAAATCCATGATCGAGAACATTGGCATCCATAAAATTCTTGATCGAGAACATTGGCTTCCATAAAATCCATGATCGAAAACATTGGCATCCATAAAATCCTTGATCGAGAACATTGGCATCCATAAAATCCATGATCGAGAACATTGGCATCCATAATATCCTTGATCGAGAACGTTGGCATCCATAAAATTCTTGATCGAGAACATTGGCTTCCATGAAATCCATGATCGAGAACATTGGCATCCATAAAATCCTTGATCGAGAACATTGGCATCCATAAAATCCATGATCGAGAACATTGGCATCCATAATATCCTTGATCGAGAACATTGGCATCCATAAAATTCTTGATCGAAAACATTGGCTTCCATAAAATCCATGATCGAGAACATTGGCATCCATAAAATCCTTGATCGAGAACATTGGCTTCCATAAAATCCTTGCTCGAGAACACTGATATCCAGGTGCACTGATACCCAGGAAACTCGACATCCAGGAACATCGAAATCCAGTGAATGAGTGAGTGAGTATGGCTTTACGCTGCTTTTAGCAATATTCCAGCAATATCACGGCAGGGGGGACACCAGAAATGTGCTTCACAAATTGTACCCATGTCGGGAATCGAACCCGGGTCTTCGTGACGAGCGAACGCTTTAAATCTAGGCTACCCGACCACCCCTTGAGCTCCAGGAACACGTATCGTGATGTCCAGGAACACTGAGATCAAGGAATGCTAATCTCGAGAACACTGTTCTTAATGAACACTGATATCCAGGAACACATCCTATCCACAAAATGCCTATTTAAATGCCTCTATGATCGAATAATGCAATAAATGTGAAAAAGTGTACATTATGTTTTTGGTTTTATTTATAGCATCAACAATACACATCCACGCTTGTACAAAGCATAGGATTTAAATATGATCTTAACATGCTACATGCTCACAAGGCACAACCCCACAACGAAAAAACAAACAAGTAAGCGTTGTGCCGTATATATACTGTTATCCGTTTGTATTTGTTGGTTGGTTGGTTGGTTTGTTGTTTAACGCCGCACTCAGCAATATTTCAGCTATATGACGGCGGTCTGTAAATAGTCGAGTCTGGACCATACAATCCAGTGATTGTGATACCGTTTGCAATATAACTTTAGTTTTGCCATTCACATATTATAATCTTGATTTGACATCATGAGTGCATTGTGTGATTTATTTCAAATACCAGGGCAGGAACAACTGTGAGCGAAGATAAATAATGTCATTGATTTGTTTCCAAATGTTACAAATAATCCACAAACAGTGGAAGGCTGTGTGTAGAGTTAGTGACTAGTGAATGTTGTAAAAACCGCACTCAGCAATATTCAAGTAATGTGAAGGCGGTCTGTAAGTAATCGACTCTCGAAAAGGCACACCAGAAGAGTGAGTGAGTTGGGTTTAACGCCGCTTTTAACAGTATTCCAGCTATATCACGGCGTGTCAGCTTAATGTGGGAGGAAAGCCCGAAGTGATGCAGGTCTCAGACGTTTACCGCTTCGGTGAAACCCACGAGCATGGGTATGGTGCTGACAGACCTAGAAACATAATCGGGGCGAACCGGGATTCGAACCCACAATCATAGGTTTCTGGAGTGCCCAAGGGACGCAACTCTGCACAGCCCCCGTGCCCCCGCACACAAGATGAGATGATGATAATGAGACGCGATCCACGACACACAATCAGTCAAGTCTCACATTGTAACCACACAAACGACTTGCATGGGGATTCTAGTGTGTTCCTGGTTCACAATGTTTATAGGCCCGTGAAGATCCGGGGTAGAATAGGCCTTCAGCAACCCATGCTTGCCGTAAAAGGCGACTATGCTTGTCGTAAGAGGCGACTAACGGGATCGGGTGGTCAAGCTCGCTGACTTGGTTGATGCATGTCATCGATCCCAATTGCGTGGATCGATGCTCATGATATCAATCACTGGATTATCTGGCCCAGACTCAATTATTTACAGACCGCCGTCATATGGCTGGAACATTGCTGAGTGCGGCGTTAAACAACAAACCAAACCAAACCACAATGTTTATAATCATGACTCACTCTGTGTATTTCAGCGCTTCACTGCTACCTTCACAATGGCAACATTTCATTCATGTTAAAGAAAAACCACTGACCACTGGTCACCTATTGTTCCATTGCTGAAAACAAAACGTCAACGCCAGGGAATAACCAGTCTTGATTATCTGACCAGATTCCATTAGGCGTAAAAGGCACAATAGCGTGACAACGGAACAGATTTGTCTCGGTTCAAAACTTTGCTTTGTAGTTGAACACTCTCCATATGCCCTTTAAATGTTAAACATTAAACTGTGAGTTCTACCGTTCGGTCCTGTTGTTTTGTGGTGGCTCTCACGTCACAGCCAACTCGTTGAAGCCGCTGACAGCCGCGTGTACTGTGTTGGCGCCCCTATGCTCTAAGTAAGACACGTGTTATGTTTACAATAGACTATGAAGTGGCCGTATAATCACCACATATGCCGTGTCGGTGAGTGAGTGAGTATGGTTTTACGCCGCCTTTAGCAATATTCCAGCAATATCACGGCGGGGGACACCAGAATTTGGCTTCACACATTGTACCCATGTCGGGAATCGAACCCGGGTCTTAGGCGTGACGAGCGAACGCTTTAACCACAAGGCTACCCGACCGCCCCTGTCGTGTTGGTGGTGAGTTTAAGAAGCAATTATGTTTTATGGTAAAACATACTCTCTCTTAGTTCAATGTTAACAGTGTATTTGTATCGTTGTATGCTGTTGGTATATCCATTACTTGTTTGACTGATTAAGTAACAGTTTAAATTTTCTTACATTTTCTTATGAGCTTTCGGGGTCACGGGTGCGCTTCGCTGTGCAGAGTTACGTCCCTTGGGCACGCCAGAAATATACTATGATCATGGGTTCGAATCCCGGTTCACCCAAATTATGTTTCTAAATTTGTCAGCACCATACCCGTGCTCGTGGGTTTCACCGAAGTGGTAAACGTCTGAAACCTGCATCACTTCGGGCCTTCCTCCCACATTAAGATGACCCGCCGTGATATAACTGGAATACTGTTGAAAGCGGCGTTTAACCAAACTAACTCACTCTTAAGCGATTTAACAAAGAGCATAACATGCACTCATGCACACACGCACTGCCATAAAACAAACAATTAAGTCTTTCTTTTAAAACTCAAGTTACCGATCACACTTACAAAACCACTCATCCTCCAGCTGACTCAGGCAGTGATTCACCGTGTGGTTAATCTGAAATATAGACGACTCCGCGGTTTTGCTGGAGAGAAGAAGGTCGGTGATTCGATGCCAGGCCGCGTAATACCAAAATGAAGCTACATGTACTTGTTAGCCTACACGGCGCTCGACATTCAGGGATAAAAACAAGGACTGGTCAGCTCGGAGTGTTATACTGCGGCATGGTACCTCAGTGGGCTAGAACAAACGCACACACACACACACGCACACACACACACGCACGCGCGCACGCACACACACACACACACACACACACACACACACACACACACACACAGAGGTCCCTACATAAGTGCAATAATCTTGAACGCGACGTTAAACCCCATTTCACCTCCCTTATCTGAAATTATCCTTGTCTTGTTTAACGCCACAATTAGCAATATTCCAACTACAGTAAACTATTTTTATAACGAACACGCTCATAACGAACTGACGGATAAAACGTATTATTTTATGGTCCCGGGCATTTGCTGTGTATATCCTGTATATATGCTTATAACGAAATACGGTTATTACAAACTAAAGTTAATGGCCCTTTTGAGTTCGTTATAACCGCAGTTTACTGTATATAACGGCGCCCTCTAAACCATCGACAAACCAATTATTTATACTATGCCAAACGTCCCATGCCCTCACGGTACTAGAACACACATCAACAATGTCACCTCGCCTCATTGGACAGGCATGTGTTGCTTGGGCCTAATCTACCCCGGAATCCTCAGGGGTCTGAAATAATTACAGTATCCCGTATCAAGAATCTAAAATAGAAATCCCATTCAACCATAAAGTCTGAAGGAGTGTCGCAGACCCACAGTAAGATTCAATGACATCCACTTGTGTGTGTAACGATTTAGTGGCATCCACTTGTGTGTGTAATGATTCAGTGGCATCCGCTTGTGTGTGTAATGATTCAGTGGCATCCACTTGCGTGTGTAACGATTCAGTGGCATCCACTTGTGTGTGTAACGAATCAGTGGCATCCACTTGTGTGTGTAACGAATCAGTGGCATCCGCTTGCGTGTGTAACGATTCAGTGGAATCCGCTTGTGTGTGTAACGATTCAGTGGCATCCACTTGTGTGTGTTACGATTCAGTGGCATCCACTTGTGTGTGTAACGATTCAGTGGCATCCACTTGCGTGTGTAACGATTCAGTGGCATCCATCTGTGTCTGTAACGATTCAGTTGCATCCATTTGTGTGTGTAACGATTCAGTTGCATCCACTTGTGTGTGTAACGATTCAGTGGCATCCACTTGTGTGTGTAACGATTCAGTGGCATCCACTTGTGTCTGTAACGATTCAGTGGAATCCATTTGTGTGTGTAACGATTCAGTTGCATCCTATTGTGTGTGTAACGATTCAGTGGCATCCACTTGTGTGTGTAACGATTCAGTGGCATCCACTTGCGTGTGTAACGATTCAGTAGAATCCACTTGTATGTGTAACGAATCAGTGGCATCCGCTTGCGTGTGTAACGATTCAGTGGAATCCGCTTGTGTGTGTAACGATTCAGTGGCATCCACTTGTGTGTGTAACGATTCAGTGGCATCCACTTGCGTGTGTTACGAATCAGTGGCATCCGCTTGCGTGTGTAACGATTCAGTGGAGTCCGCTTGTGTGTGTAACGATTCAGTTGCATCCACTTGTGTGTGTAACGATTCAGTGGCATCCACTTGTGTGTGTAACGATTCAGTGGCATCCACTTGTGTGTGTAACGAATCAGTGGCATCCGCTTGCGTGTGTAACGATTCAGTGGAATCCGCTTGTGTGTGTAACGATTCAGTTGCATCCACTTGTGTATGTAACGAATCAGTGGCATCCACTTGTGTGTTTAACGATTCAGTTGCATCCACTTGCGTGCGTAACGATTCAGTGGCATCCACTTGCGTGTGTAACGATTCAGTGGAATCCGCTTGTGTGTGTAACGATTCAGTGGCATCCACTTGTGTGTGTAACGATTCAGTGGCATCCACTTGTGTGTGTAACGAATCAGTGGCATCCGCTTGCGTGTGTAACGATTCAGTGGAATTTCGCTTGTGTATGTAACGATTCAGTGGCATCCACTTGTGTGTGTAACGAATCAGTGGCATCCACTTGCGTGAGTAACGATTCAGTGGCATCCACTTGTGTGTGTAACGATTCAGTGGCATCCACTTGCGTGTGTAACGATTCAGTGGCATCCACTTGTGTGTGTAACGAATCAGTGGCATCCACTTGTGTGTGTAACGAATCAGTGGCATCCGCTTGCGTGTGTAACGATTCAGTGGAATCCGCTTGTGTGTGTAATGATTCAGTGGCATCCACTTGTGTGTGTAACGATTCAGTGGCATCCACTTGTGTTTGTAACGATTCAGTGGCATCCACTTGTGTGTGTAACGAATCAGTGGCATCCACTTGTGTGTGTAACGAATCAGTGGCATCCGCTTGCGTGTGTAACGATTCAGTGGAATCCGCTTGTGTATGTAACGATTCAGTGGCATCCACTTGTGTGTTTAACGATTCAGTGGCATCCACTTGCGTGTGTAACGATTCAGTGGCATCCACTTGTGTGTGTAACGATTCAGTGGCATCCACTTGCGTGTGTAACGAATCAGTGGCATCCACTTGTGTGTGTAACGAATCAGTGGCATCCACTTGTGTGTGTAACGAATCAGTGGCATCCGCTTGCGTGTGTAACGATTCAGTGGAATCCGCTTGTGTGTGTAACGATTCAGTGGCATCCACTTGTGTATGTAACGAATCAGTGGCATCCACTTGCGTGTTTAACGATTCAGTTGCATCCACTTGCGTGTGTAACGATTCAGTGGCATCTACTTGCGTGTGTAACGATTCAGTGGAATCCGCTTGTGTGTGTAACGATTCAGTGGCATCCACTTGTGTGTGTAACGATTCAGTGGCATCCACTTGCGTGTGTAACGAATCAGTGGCATCCGCTTGCGTGTGTAACGATTCAGTGGAATTTCGCTTGTGTATGTAACGATTCAGTGGCATCCACTTGTGTGTGTAACGAATCAGTGGCATCCACTTGCGTGAGTAACGATTCAGTGGCATCCACTTGTGTGTGTAACGATTCAGTGGCATCCACTTGCGTGTGTAACGATTCAGTGGCATCCACTTGTGTGTGTAACTAATCAGTGGCATCCACTTGTGTGTGTAACGAATCAGTGGCATCCGCTTGCGTGTGTAACGATTCAGTGGAATCCGCTTGTGTGTGTAACGATTCAGTGGCAGCCACTTGTGTGTGTAACGATTCAGTGGCATCCACTTGTGTGTGTAACGATTCAGTGGCATCCACTTGTGTGTGTAACGAATCAGTGGCATCCACTTGTGTGTGTAACGAATCAGTGGCATCCGCTTGCGTGTGTAACGATTCAGTGGAATCCGCTTGTGTATGTAACGATTCAGTGGCATCCACTTGTGTGTTTAACGATTCAGTGGCATCCACTTGCGTGTGTAACGATTCAGTGGCATCCGCTTGCGTGTGTAACGAATCAGTGGAATCCGCTTGTGTGTGTAACGATTCAGTGGCATCCACTTGTGTGTGTAACGATTCAGTGGCATCCACTTGCGTGTGTAACGAATCAGTGGCATCCGCTTGTGTGTGTAACGATTCAGTGGAATCCGCTTGTGTGTGAAACGATTCAGTGGCATCCACTTGTGTGTGTAACGATTCAGTGGCATCCACTTGCGTGTGTAACGATTCAGTGGCATCCGCTTGCGTGTGTAACGATTCAGTGGAATCCGCTTGTGTGTGTAACGATTCAGTGGCATCCACTTGTGTGTGTAACGATTCAGTGGCATCCACTTGCGTGTGTAACGAATCAGTGGCATCCGCTTGCGTGTGTAACGATTCAGTGGAATCCGCTTGTGTGTGTAACGATTCAGTGGCATCCACTTGTGTGTGTAACGAATCAGTGGCATCCACTTGTGTGTGTAACGATTCAGTGGCATCCACTTGTGTGTGTAACGAATCAGTAGCATTCACTTGTATGTGTAACGATTCAGTGGCATCCACTTGCGTGAGTAACGATTCAGTGGCATCCACTTGCGTGTGTAACGAGTCAGTGGCATCCACTTGTGTGTGTAACGATTAAGTGGCATCCACTTGCGTGTGTAACGATTCAGTGGCATCCATCTGTGTCTGTTACGATTCAGTTGCATCCATTTGTGTGTGTAACGATTCAGTTGCATCCACTTGTGTGTGTAACGATTCAGTGGCATCCACTTGTGTGTGTAACGATTCAGTGGCATCCACTTGTGTCTGTAACGATTCAGTGGAATCCATTTGTGTGTGTAACGATTCAGTTGCATCCTATTGTGTGTGTAACGATTCAGTGGCATCCACTTGTGTGTGTAACGATTCAGTGGCATCCACTTGTGTGTGTAACGATTCAGTTGCATCCACCTGTATGTGTAACGAGTCAGTGGCATCCACTTGCGTGTGTAACGATTAAGTTTAAAACACAGCTCGTGTTAACGATCCCCAATCACCTTGTAGACTAACTCACTTTACAACTGATCGAATTAGACAACAAAGATTGAAATAGTGTCATTTTGAATAACGGTATATATATTTCACATTGTCAAGACTTCGAATAAGTATGAGTCATATTTGAACCTGTTTTGCTGTCGAGCGTACAAGTAAAGGCGATGTACAGGACAAGGTTTTACGTGCACACGAAATTGCTATTTACGTTTTATTAACAAAACGTCACTGTCCATGTGACGTGAACCCATCAACATCTGCGTGTAAGATGTAAGTCCATTTGATCATTAAAGCTTTGTGTGGGGTATATGTTTGGCCAGTGGCCAATTCTATGTGAATACTTGCGTCCTTTACATGTAAAAGAATCTTTACAGAGAGAGAAACACACACACACACACACAGAGAGAGAGAGAGAGAGAGAGAGAGAGAGAGAGAGAGAGAGAGAGAGAGAGAGAGAGAGAGAGAGAGAGAGAGAGAGAGAGAGAGAGAGAGAGAGAGAGCTTAAACAGTAACAACCAACAGCTGTAAAAACCTGATATTTGCGAAGTCTTTTCAGTGAGACCCATTAAAACAGTTGGGAATGTTTTTTTGCTTTTACACAAAGGGTCGCATAGAGCGGAACGTAGCTTTTGGCCAAACGCGGTAAGACCGCACGTTATACTGTATGCATACGGTGTCTATGGCTTCTGTGTGATGATTATACTGAAAGGATGGGCTGTCGGCTGGGTGTTTTGTCTTGGTAGATCTGTAAGGACATTACACGCACTCCGATTCCACATAAACAGACTCTCATATTACAATACAGTATCCACCCACTGTCTAGTCATGCTTATGTCACTTCCTAGATACCGCTAGCGTCCTTCACAACAGAAGTAACAACAACTGACCAGATCAGAACAGATCTACAATTTCGGAGAAATGAAGGCCCTTCTCTGTGCTATCGTCCTGGGGACTACATTCGGCTATGGTAGGTTTATATCTTGTACTGTATCAGTTAACGTTGTGTGTATGTAAGTCCGGCTTGTTGTGCAAGAGAAACGTCTATGTTTAAATGTATTTGTTTCAACAATCAGGCAATTAAGTGAGTGAGTTCGGTTTTACGCCGCTTTTAGCTATATTCCAGCAATATCGCGGCGGGGACACCAGAAATGGGCTTCACACATTGTACCCATGTCGGGAATCGAACCCGGGTCTTCGGCGTGACGAGTTAACGCTTTTACCACTAGGCTACCCGACCGCCCCAGCAATTAAGTAGGATGAGGCCTTTGGATCTGCAAAATATAATGCGTATGATTTTACGCCTCTTTTTTTAGCAATATTCCAGCAATATCACGGAGGGGGACACCAGAAATGGTCCCCAATTGTCCTTCACATATTGTACTCATATGTGGGGAATCCAACCCGCGTCTTCGGCGTGACGAACGAACACTTTAACCACTAAGCTACCTCACCGCCCCGCATAATTACAGAAATTGTTATGAAAGATGTATTCATATGAATGAGAACTTAACTCTTTTCTTCTCTTTTTTCATTTCAAATTTTGAATTCATTGGACTTACATCATTACATAGAAATTGAATTCATTGGACTTATATCAAAACCTAGAAACATAATCGGGGTGAACCGGGATTCGAACCCACAATCATTGTTGCCCAAGGGACGCAACTCTGCACAGCGAATCGCGGCGCCTTAGACGACTGGGCCACTCGTGACCCCGTGATGATTTGGAACATAATCATCGTTACTTTTGCCTCTCTGTCATGCATATGACATGTGTGAACTGTTAGTGAGTTTTATTAATGTGGGTTTAATAACATATTGTAGGTACCTGCGAAATGTGTGGGTTCTACTACAATTGTAAATATGGATGCTGCGACCATGGCACCCAATGCTGTTCTCGATACATCAGTTTTAAGTGAGTATTCAGAAAAAAAGTTCATCTTTCTGGTTAAACGATGTATAATAATATCAAATATGGTAATAGCCAGAGATATTTTCATTTAGGTTATTAAATATTTGCTTAAAGGTTTTTACGCAAATTCATATATTCTCTACATTATGAGGTGGCGACAGGAGCGTTGTTCTAAGCTACATTACTTGTAGTTAGTATTTCCTGTTCCTAGCTGATGAATTAGTTACATTCATGTGGCAATAGTGAGTTAACAGGGGACATTCTATTTCTGCCCTTATTACTGTCGTTGATTTTGTTGTTGTCGTTGTTGCTGCTGCTGCTGTTGTTGGTGGGTGGTGGTGAAGTTTGTGATTAGGATTCACGCCGCTTTGAGCGATATTCCGGCAACATCAAAGAAATTGTCTTAACACATTGTACGCAAATATGGAATCGAACCCGGGCATTCGGCCTAACGAGAAAACGCTTCAACCACATGGCTACACCACCGCCCCTGTCGAGTAACATGCGGTTATAATCAACGTCACCAGACATTGAATCCTGGCAAGATATATATTACAAACTCCTTAAAAAAAGCTTCTTAGTCTGTCTTCCAGAAGGTGGCACGGGCGGCCCAGTCATCTGAGGCGACGCGATTCGCTGTGCAGAGTTGCGTCCCTTGGGCACGCCAGAAATCTATGATTGTGGGTTCGAATTCCGGGTCGCCCCGATTATGTTTCTAGGTTTGTCAGCACCATACCCGTTCTCTTGGGTTTCACCGAAGTGGTTAACGTCTGTGACCTGCACCACTTCGGGCTTTCCTCCCACATTAAGCTGACACGCCGTGATGTAACTGGAATATTGTTAAAAGCGGCGTTAAATCCAACTCACACTCACTCACTCTCCTCTAAAATTAAAACAAATAACATGCCTGATGCTGATTTCATTTAGAGCTGACAAGAGCTGGCTAGATTTGCTTTTCTATATATCTAGATTGGTTTGTTTTCATAAAATAAATATATTCCACAGTCACGTTGCAGGACCAGGAGATTGGTAATGTGGCGATGTATCCTTGGATCTTGGGCAATATACAGCGTGTGTGTGTGTCCGTGTGATGTGTGAGTGAATGAGTATGATTTTACGCCGCTTTTAGCAAAATTCCAGCAATATCACGGCGGGGGACACCAGAAATGGGCTTCACACATTGTACCCATGTCGGGAATCGAACCCGGGTCTTTGGCGTGACGAGCGAACGCTTTAACCACTAAACTACCCGACCGCCCCCTGTGTGTATATATGTTAGTTAGGTGGAATATAGCTATAGCTTTTAGGGAACCAGGGATGCATATAACGCCATAAGTTGATCACAAGCGATATACAAACGCTGTATCCACACTTCATCTGGATACTTGCCCACTTGTTTTTTTGCAGCTATAATGTGTATGTGGGCGTCGGCGTGACGGTTGCCATAGTTACCACCATCGGGGCCATCGCCGTCATCATATACTTGTTGAAGAGGAAGACCCGACCCGGTCGGGTGATCACCGCACATCAACCAGGCCCCAGTGTCGTAGCCCACTCTAGCGTCACGACAACAAGTAAGTCTGAGTCTAACCAGCTATAATGACTGACAATGACAGATGTGTAAACGCTAATAAAAAGCAGTATTGAAACATTAAGCCCGGTTTTTATCACGGTTTTGCCTTTGCATGTGTTTGTGACGGGTGTCATCGGTGGGGCAGGATACGCTCAGCTTTTCGCGAACACCTGGTATCATTACCATTATCCAATGACAGATGTGTAAACTCTTTTTAAATTAGTATTGAAACTTTAAGCTCGGTTTTGATCACGTATTTGCCTTTGCATGTGTTTGTGATGGGTGTCATCGGGAGGGGGGCAGGATACGCTCACCTTTTCGCGAACACCTGGTATCATTACCATTATCTTATGACAGATGTGTAAACGCTTTTTAAAAGCAGTATTTAAACTTAAGGCCCGGTTTTGATCACGGTTTTGCCTTTGCATGTGTTTGTGACGGGTGCCATCGGGAGGGGGACAGGATACACTCAGTTTTTTGCGAACACCTGGTATCATTACCATTATCCAATGACAGATGTGTAAACTCTTTTTAAAAGTAGTATTGAAACTTTAAGCTCGGTTTTGATCACGAATTTGCCTTTGCATGTGTTTGTGATGGGTGTCATCGGGAGGGGGGCAGGATACGCTCACCTTTTCGCGAACACCTGGTATCATTACTATTTGATATTTATACACAAACACATGCTCACGATATAGTCGGTATTGTACAATCGACTCTGCTTTATGCAGAGATTTCTATCGGATATGGAACGAGTTTTGTCGCTTAATTTATTGAAATGGTTCTATGACGTACCTTGGGAAAAACATTTTTGGAAATGTTTACTTGCATACGGTTTCCATTTTAATCAATGTGTCAATTCTTAAATCATCATACTTTTATATTTCATAAGGTATATGTTTTGGGATAATAATATATAAATAAATAATAAAAATATTACAAACAATCACTGTTCAAAACTTCAAATAAAATATGATCACTATAACACCTATGTTCTTTTTTCAGACAACATGGGACAAGTTCAGAGTAGCTCGTCTGTCTACCCCCCTCCAGTAGGAGCCCCTGGGTACGACCCAACCCTCTCTCCCCCCGTCTACTATCCTCCAGGGGCTGCGGCCCCACCCCCGGGATACAGCTCCTACCCTCCACCCTACCAGGGTAAATCCTAAACCGCTATCAGATCTACTGGATCTCTCTGCTGAACTGATTGTCCTCTCTCCATCACTGCACAGTGATACAGTAAACTACGGTTATAAGGAACACGTTTATAACGAACTGACCGATATAACGAACTTATTTTTTAGTCCCGGCCATTTGTTGTATATATGGTGTATATATGCTTATAACGAACTACGGTTATAACGAACCAAATTTTGTGGTTCCTTTGAGTTCGTTATAACCGTAGTTTACTATATGTTAAAAATACAATAATGCACAGCAATATAAACTCTAGGAACCTTAGTAGATTTCGATGTTAGCTGACGTTGTATCTACAACACCATAAATAAAGTAAACTTCGTTTATAACGAACACGCTTATAACGAACTGACGGATACAACAAACTGGCCTTTTTGGCCCCGGCCAGTTGCTGTGTACACGTTGCATATATGCTTATAACGAACAATGGTCATAACGAACTAAAGTTAGCAGTCCCTTTGAGTTCGTTATAACCGTTGTTTACTGTATATACTAATGACTAGTAGGACGATTGGCAAGGTTTATACACGTTTTCTCTCTGCACATTGTATTTATCTTTTAAACTGAAATATTTCGTGGGCTTCCAATAATAAACTCTGCCCTGAAAGCCTCACCATGGTGTTCTGAAAGAGATCACTCATAACCTGTGAAATACAGTAAACTACGGTTATAACGAACACGTTTATAACGAACTGGCCGATATAACGAACTTATTCTTTTGTCCCGGCCATTTGTTGTATATATGCTGTATATATGCTGATAACGAACTACGGTTATAACGAACCAAAATTAGTGGTCCCTTTGAGTTCGTTATAACCGTAGTTTACTGTATATTTATAACGTTAGTTACCGGTTGGGCAGGCACGCCTTCCCTTTCCACGAACGACTGGTGTCATCAATGATTTTCAGTGATCCATTCATATAATTATTACCGGAAGTTGCCTTTCACGTCCAATGGAATTTGTTTTGTCGAATAATTTTGACCGGTTATTCTCTTGCGTTTTATATTATTCCTTTCATTGGCCATCCAGTTTAATATAGGAGGTGAAATTATTCTTGAAACAAGTAACAAAGACGTCTTATATTTCTTAACCTTAGAGGGGCGGTCGGGTAGCCTAGTGGTTAAAGCGTTCGCTCGTCACACCGAAGACCCGGGTTCGATTCCCGACATGGGTACAATGTGTGAAGCCCATTTCTGGTGTCCCCCGCCGTGATATTGCTGGAATATTGCTTAAAGCGGCGTAAAACCATACTCACTCACTCACTTTTAACCTTAGAAACACATTCAAGACAATGTGTTTTGGCAAAACAGCCGAAATTATGAGTTTATTCGAAATACATTCGAAATACATTCTAAGTATTCGAACTGCATTCTGTTTGAATTCTTGGAGGTTCGAAACATATTCGGCGGCCACCCCGGGAGCGTTCTGACTGTATTCGAGGTGAAATCGTACAGCATTCGAGGCACCTTTCAACCAGACATCGGGCGGTATTCGGGCAGCAATCGTATGGCATACGAAGCACATTCCTAATATTCTGACTGCATTCTAACATCATTCTAATATTCCTACTGTGTTCCAACTGCATTCGAGAGCCAATACACCCGGAATGTGCAAGAATCATTTGAGGCGGGTTCGAAACGCATTCTATGTCTTCGAACGGCGTTCTTACAAAACTTGGTCTATTTGAAATTCCCTCCCGAATGTGGCACGAATTTTGAAATGCTTCATTCCGGCTGGTTCTGCTTGATTCCGAATATGTGTGACGGGGGCATAAATCGCAAGATATACTGTTGAAATTGGGGTTATCCCATTTACTCAATGTGGAATAATCCCCTGAGCACCGTCTGTTGTATATAGTCTGGTTTGAATATAGAGGCCATTGTGTGATGTATATCAGCTGTCCACTCACTTGTTCATATTGTCGTAACTGCTTTCGGGCGTCCAGTGCGCCCCTAATACAGTTACTAAATTATTGCCGTTCCTGGTCTTTGTGGTCAATTACGCCCTGACATTGTCACTCGCCTTGTCCGCCGCGGCTCGGCTCCGTCAAGGAGTGATTGGTCTAACGACCCTTACTCCAAGTTGTCTCTATCAGCATTCACACACGCATAATAAAGAAACGCAACACCAGTTTTATACTCACACGGTCTGATTCGTATTTTGGCACATAACGTATAGATAAGGGGACGAGTCTTCTTGCAGGTTACGGAAAGGAGCGAGTGGTGACGAATGCTATCGCCCATTTAAAATGCATTGACAAGCCATATCAGCTCTGCAGGGTGTTGTTTTAAGGGTCTGGTTATGACACCCCGTTATATGACCGCCTCTATGTTGATTTTATCGCACGTGCGAGATGCTTCATATCAGTGATAGGTATATGGTAATGCGTGTTATTACTGCAGATGTTATCCTTCCTCTCTGAACATTCTGGAAATATGAAATATGAACATTGCTTTAATTTTTTGGATAATAAACGTAAACTCACCAGTGTGTGTTGTTCATGAATCAGGTTGTTTGGTTTGTTTGTTGTTTAACGCCGCACTCACCAATATTCCAGCTTTATGACGGCGGTCTGTAAATAATCGAGTCTGGACCAGACAATCCAGTGATTAATATCATGAGCATCGATCCATGCAATTGGGATCGATGACATGCATCAACCAAGTCAGCGAGCCTGACCACCCGATCCCGTTAGTCGCCTTTTACGACAAGCATAGTCGCCTTTCACGGCAAGCATGGGTTGCTGAAGTTCATTCTACCCCGGATCTTCACGGGTCTCATGAATCAGGAGTGGCCGCTTTACGTACCAGGTATATTGAAAGTATTGTAATGGTCATACACTTAAAAGATGTTTTCATTTTATGATGCTTCAGTTGGGTATCAAGGTAGACCATTTTCATTTTCTTAAGCCCAATAGGGTGCGCTGTACACTAGTCTATTTATAGATGCATTTAATCAAGGCATGTAAGGCATGCACAGAACCACATGGCAGCTGGCTAGGTAGCCACATGAGTTGATAAAAGTGGTCAACAACTAGGTAAATACAACAGCAGTTTTACTAATATCTTTAGTTTTAGATGTATAATTGTGATATTATGTATCTGAATTAATTACATTGCTTCTAGTAAATAACATTTTGTAATTACCATAAATTTCCTAATGTGTCCTAAAATCAATGTTCTTTTGCAAAGAAATGTTTTTGAGTATAGTTTATTTGTATTTACAATCTAGAGTAATGGTATTTTTGCTTTATTTGCAGTCAATCATGAAATGACATGACATGAATTGAAATGAAGTGAATTGTAATGAAGTGAAATGAAATGACATGACATGACATGAATTGAAATGAAGTGAAATGAAATGACATGACATGACATGAATAGAAATGAATTGACATGAAGTGAAATGACATGAAATGAGATGAAATGACATGAATTGACATGAAATACTCATGCAACACTCATGAAACAGAATAAAATAAACAGAAATCCAAAGATTGAATTGTTTTCACTTGAAAAGTATCAGTGCGATTTGAAGTCCACATGCATTGACTAGTTGACCATTATGAATAGAGAGATAGATATAGAAGATCATGTGACAGATGAACCTGTGACAGATGAACCTGTAGATGACCTAGTAACTGTCAGTGAGACAGGTGAAGACTCACCGATTAGACGCGAGAGACCTAGGACTGAAAAGGGTAGATTATTTGAAATTGAATTGAAGTCAAAGAGATGAAAAACTTTGATTAAGAAGCTAAGGACTAAGTACACTCACATAGAGCAGTTAGTTACAGATGTTTGTGATAGTCGTGAGCTCGTAGAAGACCACAAAGCATGGCTAACTGTATATGAAGATTATCTTCAAACCTATACCTCCTTCTGTGACCTAGCTCATGATAGTTCATGCGAAAATATGTTTGAAGATGCATATGGTTTAATGAAGATGTACAAGGAGAAGATGGAAGGATGGATCACCTCAACTGTCTCCTCTAGACATAGTAACAGTCAGGTCTCACGGCATCACAGTATGTCTAGTGCGGCTGTGTCACGGTCATCTTCATTGTCATCTGCAAGACTGAAAGCGGAACAGAAGAAAGCAGAGTTGGATGCCAGGATGCACGCGTTTCAACAGAAGAAGAAACTTGAACTTGCCCAGGCCCAGCTGAAACTTGAGCAAGAGGAACTTGAATTAAAGACTGAAATGGATGTTGTGGATGCCAGATCAAGGGTGCTTGATGACTTTGAACATAGAAGCGATTCAAGAATGTCTCGCGGTGATGACAAGCATCATGGTGATCATGGTAATGTAAATACAGGGACCAAGTGTGTACAGAGAGACTCAATTCCAGACAGACAACCCTCTAATGACACTGGTAAATCTGATGATGTACAGACTGAGGTGAAATGTGTACAGACTGATAGTAACTTAGTCAGTTTGTATCCTAATGTCTCTCACATTGCTAGAGATAATGACTTCAGACTTAGCGCATCATCAAATGAGTTTGTGCCTAAGTCTGTGCATAATGGCAATGTTTACTGTCATGATGATTGTGTTGGTTATGGCTATTGTTTGTTCAGGTCATATGATGAACAACATGGTAACACAGGTGTTAGTGTTGATAATCAACATGTATCTCTTCCTTCCAGAATACCTGTTAGCACTCCATATGATTGTAGACCATCTATGACAGCAGACATTTCTACCGGAAGAGATCTCATAACTGATGTGGTGCGTCATTTGAGGAAGCCATTGGTTGATATGAAAAAGTTTGATGGTAATCCGATAGAGTACTGTAAGTTCATTCGTCAATTCAGGTCTACAATTGAACAGAATACAGAAGATGATGATGAGAGACTTAATTATCTCCTTCAGTTCACAGAGAAGAAACCACATGAGATTGTCAATGGTTTTTCTTACCTGGATGCAAAGGTTGGTTATCCTGCAGCACTCAAGGAGCTGCATCAACGCTATGGGCAAGATGATGTTCTTGCTGAAGCCTTTGTGAAGAAAGCATTGGATTGGCCAGCGATCAAGCAAGACAACCCAACTGCCCTTGATGAATTTTCCATATTCCTGAGTGAATGCGACTACGCCCTAACAAGCTTAGAAGCTGTAAAAGTACTTCAGTATGCTGAAAACATGAAGAGGTTAGTAAGTAAGCTGCCCTACAATTATCATGATAAATGGCGAAATCGTGTTTTGCATATCAAGGAAGCATCTGGAACTGTGCAGTTTAGTGACTTCGTGTATTTTGTGAAGATGGAGGCCAAGAAAGCATGTGATCCAACCTATGGAAAAGATGCCCTCAAGACACTTGACCAGAAAGTAACAGTTGGAAAGAAACTTACCTTGAAACAGAAGCAATCTTCTCCTAAAGTAAGCTTTGCAAGTAGCCTCTCAGAGTCAAATAAGTCCAGTGAAACCATGTCAAAGGCTGATAAGTCTTCAACTTCTCAGGCAAGTTGCTTGTATTGCGTAGACTACAATACATCTCATACACTAGATGCATGTAATTCTTTCTCAAAGATGAACTATTCTGATAAAGTTGACTTCTTGAGAAAGAAGGGGCTATGTTTTGCTTGCCTTAAGCGTGGACATATGAGTAGAGATTGTCGATCAAGACTAACATGCTCAATTTGCAGTTTGCATCATCCCACAGTTCTTCATGATGATAATTGGAGAAGAAAAACTGAATCGGATGCTAACCAGACCTCAGTGAAAGGAAGAACTACAAGTGCCTACAGCAGTGTTGCCAGCAGACTTGATCAGCTTACAGAGGCCGGTGAGGGTGACTGTACAATGGCAGTAATACCAGTGAGGGTGAAGCTGAAAGATGGGATCAACTCCATATGTACATACGCTTTCCTTGATCCTGGAAGTAATGCAAGCTTTTGTACAAACAGTCTGATGCAGAAACTGGGTGCAATGGGACGTCCCATGAATATCACTTTGGACACTATGGGTGAGACACAAACTTTTGAGACACATGCCGTGAACAATCTTCAGATCTGTGACTTGAATATGGAAAACACAATAGATCTACCTCGTATCTACACCAAAGAGAAGATGCCTATTTCCAAGGATCACATTCCTACAGCCAAGGATATTGATCACTGGCCACATTTAGATGATGTCACTCTGCCTGAAATAGATTCTGAAATAGAAATGCTGAATGGAAACAACATTCCAGATGTATATACACCTCGACAAATAAGAACAGGTCCTAGAGGGTCGCCTCATGCTACGAAGAGCCTGTTAGGGTGGATTGTCTGGAATGTGATTAGAAGAGACAGCACGACTACTTCAGGAAGTAATGCTATCTCCATAAACAGAGCAGAAGTCAAGGCCATCACAGAAAAGGAAAGGCTGCATCAGTTGGATACCATGGTAAGACATTCCATAGATCTTGAATTTCCTGAAAGACAAACTGATGACAGGAAAGAAGATTCCCTGGAAGATAAACGTTTCAAGGATAAAGCTAAATCTTCAATTGAGATGAAAGAAGGTCATTACTATATGAACTTGCCTTTCAAGAAAGAAGAGACTCACTTGCCCAACAACCAATCACAAGCTATTCAGAGGCTCAACTATCTTAAAAGGAAAATGAAGAAGGATCCAAAATTCAGAGAAGACTATATAGCCTTCATGAAACAACTGTTTGAAAAAGAGTATGCTGAAAAGGTAACTGAACAGGACTTACCTGGTATCCTTGGACGCATATGGTATCTTCCTCACCATGGGGTTTACCATCCACGGAAACCCAACAAACTGAGAGTAGTTTTTGATTGCTCTGCCTCATACCTTGGAACTTCCCTGAACAATGCACTTCTACAGGGGCCGGACATGACGAATAATCTCCTTGCTGTCTTACTTCGCTTCCGACAGGAGAAGATAGCTGTGATGGGTGACGTCGAAGCCATGTATCATCAGGTACGTGTTCATGCAGAGGACTGCGATTATCTCAGATTCCTATGGTGGCCTGGTGGTGACATAAATTTGGAACCAAAAACTTACCGGATGTAAGTCATGGTGTGAAAAACAATTTCTATGTTGATGACTATCTTGCATCAAAAGATTCAGAAGATCATGCCATAACGCTTATTCATGAAACAAGTGCAATGTGCAATGTGCAAAATGGGAGGCTTTAACCTAACCAAGTGGGTGAGTAACAGCCCTGCAGTCCTGGAGTCTATTCCTATTGAGGATCGGTCCAAGGAAATGAAGTTGATTGACCTGAAACAAGATATACTTCCAAAAGAGAGAGCCTTAGGGGTTTACTGGGATACTGAATCAGACACTTTTGGATTCAAGATGGGTGAAAGAGGTGTATCATGCACTCGAAGAGGAATTCTCTCATTGTCAAGCTCAGTTTATGATCCGTTCGGTCTGACTGCACCTTATGTTCTCATTCCGAAGTGTATCCTACAGGAACTCTGCAAAAATGGAGCAAGCTGGGATGAAGAAATCAGTGGAAAACTACTTGA